GTTCCAATGAGCACCGCTTACATTGTAGTTGTGGACATCATTTACATAGACTATAGTGTGAATGGGGCCCTCTGGAGTTGGGTAATACAGAGACCCTGAAGCCCTTAAAATCAAAGTTTCCACTGGAAATACCATAGTAGGATCTACAGTAGGGGAGCAGTCACCCCCTTAGCTTTTCATTCTGACTTCTGGTGTATAATTAAGAATCTGGTGTTATATGTGTACTTATTCAATCAATGGTAATATTTAGGCAAGCTTCTACAGATTATAAAGGTAAACAGTGAGATAGGTGTGGAATTTTATGACTGCTGTGGTAGAAAGATAGATTTCTTTGCAAACGTATGTTTAGTTGCATTCAATAGACGGATACTGTTCACAGGTAGAAAGTCATTTGCATTTCAGCACCATCTGGGTATATTCTGGCTCATGATGAAACTGTGCTTAAAATGAAATATCATTGGTGATAAACAGTGGTTTTGATGATTATAATGTTAAAAAAGATTCAAAATTCAATAAGTAGTCAGCATTTCAGAGCCTACTCTCCTGCTGGCTAGACCAATTCTGTACAATACTTGCACATCCTACACCCCAAGTCAGTGACAATCTCTGAGAAATAGTGTCTGGTAGAAGAAAGGAGTATAGTTCTCTAGTAATCATTTTTGAATTTTATATAATGCCTGAATTTCACCATCTGTAAATAATCAAGTTCTCTGATAGAGCCACTGTTACGCTTCTCAAGGCTTATTCTAATAGAAGTTAAATGTGATAAATTGATTCTTTATATCCTTGTGACTGTAAATAAACCATTGATGAATCCTCTGCAGCCTAAGCAGATATTAATGTATGTAAACTGGAGTTAATATGAAATTTGCATTTTGTGTATTTTGCCTAATCTGTTTAGTGCCAAGAATCCTTTGCACCTTTGATGGATAACATTTAATTTAAATCTCTTTACTGTCTGGGTCCTTAATGATGCAGTCCATTACTTTTCCATTTTATATGTCAAAGACTGCTTCATTATGGCTTCTACATACATGTCCTATCATATGCTATCTGTGGAATTCCACAGTTGTGTTGAGAGTCATTCTTCTATTTTACTTCTTTCTGATCGTTCATTTTACAAATATATGAGTGCCTATTATCTTCCAAGTACTGTTCGAGGCATTGGAAGGAGAGAACAAAAAATCAAGAAAGATAGTATCTTTGCTTTATGTCTGTACAGTAAAGCACACTAATTCCTAACTAAGAATAGTAGCCTTGCGCATTTTGAGTCAGATATCTACAACTTCTTTGCCACTCATTGAAGATATAAATTGAGAATAAAAAAACAGAAAATGCAAGTTGCATTTTCTTCATTCCTATCAATTTCTCCTAACATAGTAGATGATTGTTAGAGTATTTCTTTGGCTTCTGATTAGATTTTAAATAGCATTTTTTGCTTTTATATTCAGTATTTGTCTCTCATAATGGTTGTACAGATCCCTAAAGTAAGTTGGAGAAGAAAAGAGGAGTTCTGAAAGGGGGAAAAAATCAAAATGGAATGTGTGTGTGTGTGTGTGTGTGTGTGTGTGTGTGTGTGTATGGAATACTATTTAGTGCAGTGTACAAAATAAATGTATTTTAATATTTTAAGAAAACATTGTTTCTTCAATATGTAATTTAAACACATGAAAAATCTTGTTATCTTAGTTCATCGAATTATTTAAAAGTATTTTTCTTGCTCTCAATTCTTTTTCAAAATTTTTCTTCATTTGGCTGTATTTTAATGGTCTCCCTTCTCTATTGATAGAACTGTAGTGAAATGTAGCATTGCCAAGTCGCAAGCTCTCTACAGTGCCCAGAGAGGGTTGAAGACAAACAATGCTGCTGTATTTAAAGTAGGAGCTATCAGCATCAACATTCCTCAGCACCCTGCTACCTTACATAGCATGATGGTTCGTAGTTCTCATCAGCTGTCTAAACAAATCTCAGACCTCATCAGACAGCCTTCTACAGTGTGAGTTATTTTATTTGTTTATGTGCTGTGATTCTATATAATACCTCAAAAAAAAGTTTGGAGGAAGATGAAAGGCTACTTCTAAGTATTGACCATTATGGACAATGGGGCAAGTGAAGAGTAGCCAATAATCATGGGGGAATCATATTGGATAACATTTAAGTACTATGTCAGAAATGTAATTGTCAGTGTTCCATATTGCATAAATAAAGTTTGAGATTCTAGAGATTTGTGGCTTCATAAGAGTTAGTAATAAAAAGCAAATTGATGAATTCTAAGACTATATCAATCCTTGTTTACTTTGAATTCATTGAAATTTATGGCTGCATAAGGTTTAAGAAATTGCAGTGGTGATTTATGTTCCATGCATTGTTTTGTGCTGTCCTCTGTGTGAAATTATTATATATGATTCAATGCACGATTTAACCATGCCACATAAATATTTTAAAGGACAATAATCAGACTTTTTCACATTAACTTTTGTTCCTGTGTCTATAGCCTTTATTCATTCACCTGCATTGCTATCCTTATTCCCAGCCTCTGAAAGCTATAGCTAATAAAAATATATGGAAAAGGTAAAAAAGTTGCCTTATGTTTCCTTTTCCTCATCCTATAAAGTGGGAAAACATTAGTGTGTCTTTTGATGGTACCCTAAAGCAGTGATTTTTCTAATTGTTCTATTTAGATCTTTAATTCTGATGTAATATTAATTTATGGCTGAAGTTGACTAAGTAGTAAAAACTTAAATATTTTTCTCCCATGAAAGGAATATGGAATCCAGAATGTGTATTGTGAACATTAGTTTTAAAATACTCCAAAGAATTTTTCCTTATTGTAATGTATTGTCAGTAGAGTGTAGTAGTATAAAAATCAGACTCTGGAGTCAGAGTCAAAAGTTTAGTTTCACCACTTTCTAGCTACGTTTCCTCATTTACAAAGCCGAGATAATAGTACCTACTCAAAGGGTTTTGTGAGACAAATGAGATAGAACCCACAAAGCACTAAGAATGATACCTGACACTTGTAATTATTGTTACTGTTGGTGTTGTTAATAGTGGCAGTAATAGTAGTGGCAGTAGTATAATTAGTATTACAATCATCAGTAGAGTACAAAATGGTTAAGTCATAGAATTTGGAATCAGACAAATCTGAGTTTAAATTTCAGTTTTGCATTAATGGCATGAATCACCTTGGGAGTATAACATTCTAGGAGTATATATTGTTATTCTTCTTGTCTAATTTTCTAGATCATCATTGCTCAGTGGCTGGTTTTAGGAAGTCTTAATATAATATGATATTTGAAAGAAACATTTGTTCACAATATATATTTGTTATTTTTTACTGAGACATCCAATAGTTTTATACAGTAAAATGGCAGCTGTTAATTGTACTTTAAAAAAAAATTTTTTTTTTTTTGTTTTATAGCCCACAGCCTGTAAAAGAAGATATTGCAACCCCGCTACCTTCTGAAAAAACTCCAACAAGTGTTAATCAAACTCCCGTTGAAACAAATGAATTTCCTCAGCTACCAGAAGGCTTAGAAAAGAAGCCTATTGTTCTTAAATTCAGTGCCATGTTAGATGGTATAGCCATTGGAGCAGCACTTTTACCATCTCTGAAAGCAGAATACAAGATGGGAAGAATGAGAAGTCATGGAATGACAGGTAATGCTGAATTTTGAATCCTATCTCTTAAAATTTATGATTTGAGAAATTAGTGATATTTTGATGAGAAGGTAAATTTAGTTTTATAGATATTATATGAAAATCTAAACAATTTTAACAACACTTAAATTTCATTAATGATATTCTCCAGTCAAGTAAAAAATATCAGTGCACCTCTGTGAATGGCCAGAATGGACCCTTCTTTGAACTGTTTAAAATTAGTTATTCAACTGTTGAAGCCAATTCTCCAATTAAACTAAAGTTGAATAAATGAACATCTGTTAGGTTTTTATAGTCTGAATAACTTGGTTTATTTTCACATTGGGTGCATTTAGCTTAAATCAGAGGTAATTTTATTTTTCTAAAATAGCTTCTTCTGTGTGGTTTGGGAACCTTTATATACCCTATCCCAAAATTCTTTGCTTTTTAATTTTTATTGTGACATGTGTCATATATACAAAAGCATGTGAATTATGCATACACACACTTTAAAAAATAATTAAGTACTGTAAACTCACCAACCCACTACACAATCTGAGAATTAGAACAATACCAGTAGCCTCCTTCAAAGGCAGTCCCTATGACTGCTTTGGGAATAACCACTATCATGAATTTTGTCTTACCCATTCCTTTGCTGCTGCTTTGTAGTTTTACCATGTAGGTATATGAGGGTACTTCAGAAAGTTTGTGGGAAAATAGAGTTAAAAGATAATACAAATCTTTCCATGAACTTTTGTTTTGTTTTGGTGGCTGGCTAATATAGAGAGCCTAACCTTTGATCTTGATGTTATCAGCTCTGTGCTCTAACCAACTGAGCTAACTTGCCAGCCCTCCATGAACTTTTTGAAGTACGCTTGTATATTCATAAATGATTTTGTTTGCTTTTGCATGTTTTGAACTTTATTTATATGGAATCCCACTAGCATTTTTTAACTAGGATTTTTTTTTTTTTTTTTGCTGTGTATTAGATTTGAGATTCATCCATGTTCATTCATGTATCTGTGTGGTTCATTCATTTTTCACTGAAATATACCAGTTCATTCGGTGATTATATTACAATTTATCCATTCTACTACTGATGGATCTTTGGCTCATTTGACATTTTTGCTATTACAAACATTCTCTTACACATTTTCTGGGACACATGTGCACGAGTTTCTCAAGGGTATTTACTTACGAGTGGTAAAATTTGGTTGTACGGTAAATACATCTTTGGTTTTACTAGGAAATGCAAAACTGTTTTCCAATTTATTCTCCCACCAGTATTAGATGAGAGTTTTCATTGTTCCACATCCTTGTTCACACTTGGTATTGTCTGACTTTTTAATTTTTGCTTGTCTGGTAAGTGTGGAATGGTATCTCCTTGTGGTTTTAATTTATATTTCTTTGATTACTAATGAAGCTGAATCTTTTTTATATGATTAAGAGCTCCTTATTTGTTTTCTTTATATGAAACGCCTG